GGAATGCCTTGGCGACTGCCAGCGTCTTGGTAGTTCTTCCGCAGTCTCACCTTCCACTTGGAGGCTGCAGAAAGTTATTTTTTAAGTGGCTGGAAGATTTGCCCAGGGGGGCCTGTGCTTTGCTGACTGCCAACCTAAGCTGACCACTGCTACCCTGTTTCCCCTTGCCAGGCAGTCACGTGAATCGCTAGCCAGTGAGATGTGGGGGGGGGTTCTGGGGAATGTTTTACTTGCTCTTAGAAAAAGAGAGAGGCCGGGCAGGGTGGCGTCTGCTTGTAGTCCCAGCTACTTGGGAGGCTGAGGTGAGAGGATTGCTTGAGCCCAGAAGTTGGAGAAGACCAGTCTAGGCAACATAGCAAGACTCTGTCTCCTTAAAAAAGAGAAGAGTGGCCGGGCACGGTGGCTCACACCATAATCCCAGCACTTTGGGAGGCCAAGATGGGTGGATCACCTGAGGTTGGGAGTTTGAGACCAGCCCGGCCAATATGGAGAAATCCTATCTCTACTAAAAATAGAAAAATTAGCCAGATGGTGGTGCTCGCCGTAGTCCCAGCTACTTATGAGGCTGCAGCAGGAGAATCGCTTGAACCCGGGAGGTGGAGGTTGTGATGAGCTAAGATCGTGCCATTGTATTCCAGCCTGGGCAACAAGAGTGAAACTCTGACTTAAAAAAAAAAATGGAGAGAGAGAAAAACATGGGAAGAGATGGCTGCAGTACCTCATCTGCTGCCCTTTGTCCTACTGGGAGAGGATAACCTGATACCATCTTGGGACCATGAGAGGAGCAGCCAACACTGAGGTGGCAGAAGAGAGAAAGAGAAAGGGCCCCCTGGCGTGGTGGCTCACACCTGTAATCCTAGCACTTTGGGAGGCGAAGGTGGACAGATCAGGAGTTCAAGAGATCGAGACCATCCTGGGCAATATGGTAAAACCCCATCTCTACTAAAAATACAAAAATTAGCCAGGCGCAGTGGCACGTGCCTGTAGTCTCAGCTACTTGGGAGGCTGAGGCAGGAAAACGCTTGAACCCAGGAGGCAGAGGTTGCAGTGAGCTGAGATCACAACACTGCACTCCAGCCTGGGCAACAGAGGGAGATTCTGTCTCAAAAATAAAAAAAAAAAAGGGAAAAGGACCTGGTCCAGATGCCACCCCGGAGCTACTGAATCAATCAGCCCCCGAATCAACCGTCCCCGGATCAACCAGCCCCCTAGCTCCTTCACCTCAGGCCTTCTCACCATGCACATTAGCATATTTTCCTCATCATTACAGCTGTTTAAATGGGGGGCGTGTAAGCAACTGGAAACCGAGCCCCAGCCAAAGTGCAATCAAACGCAAGGACCCTGGGGCTGCCAGCTGCGTGAATGAGTTGCACATCCTGTGACACCTGGGTCCACTGGACAAGCAGCCAGGTGAGCAAAGAGAGACCCACAGCTCTGTCATTGACCACAGAAGACAGGAAATGAGGGGATTTACAAAAAGATACCCGTTGTGGGCCTGTTTTCTACAGGGACGGTCCTTCAAAGCTGCCTCCAATCTTTTCCTGGCAGCCGGTCCCTTACCGTTCTTTTGCGCCAAAGCCTGGTCAATGAAGTCAGCAGCCCTTTCAAAGTAAGCGCTGAGGTTGAACTCCTGTGTGTCATTGGCCTTAATACCCAGGTAGGTGATGCCGGAGTCCTTGTAGAAGTTGGCATTCGTGTTGACGTGCATGAAGGACCTGCCCTCAGCCGCGTTCAGGATATGGGTGATGCCCAGTTTCTGCAGCTTGGGGATATCCTGAGCCACAGACCTGGATGGGAGACAATTGGGGGGATGATGAACCAACCAAATGGCAGCCCCAGCAGGAGGAAGATGGAGAAGGATCTAAGCTGCTTGGCAAAGCCAGGAACCCCTCCATGCTCTGGCCCCTGCCAGCTTCTCCTGCCTCTTTCCTCACTCAGGCCATATCGAATTGCCAGCACTTCCCCAAATAGACTGGTGGTTTCATAGCCACGCTGTCCCCTCTGTCTGGAACGCTCTTTCCCACCCTCTCTGGAGATATGCGCCCTCTCATCTTTCACACCCTCCACAGCATTTGTCTCCCATCCATTCCATGTGGCCCCATGCTCCCTAAGCTGTGGTGTGGGTGTACTTAGCCAACTGGCTAAAAATGGGCTCTGGGACCAGAATAACTGGGTCTGCCTCCAGCCCAGTTACTAGCCAGGCAACCTTAAGCCTTAAGCCTTCTGTGCCTCAGTTTCCTTCTCCGTAAAATGGGGTAACAGTGCCTTCTCCCCGAGGTTATTATGAGTAGTAAGTGGGCTATTCCACGGACAGAGTCTGACACTGTAGTGAACACTACGATTCTAATGCTTGACTGTGCTTCTGTGTTTACACATCCAGGCTGTGAGCTCCTTGGGAGAGGACCCATGTCAACGTCAAGTCTGTTTCCCTGCCACCTGCTACAGTACCTGCTACATAGTAGGTGCTGGATAAATAAGTGGTGAATGAGTGCAGAAGAATAAACCCGTCACATGCCAGGGAGCCCCTCCCTGCCTTCTAGAGGGATCCTACCTGCCACATCCTACTGGCCACATTTCCAACACTGTCTTGGATGATTTAGTATTTGGGGAGCAAGTGGCCATAACAGAACTATGGGAAGTTACAAAATAATTTAAGGCCAGGCATGGTGACTGATGCCTGTAATCCCAGCACTTTGGGAGGCCAAGGCGGGTGGATCACCTAAGGTTGGGAGTTCGAGACCAGCCTGGCCAACATGGTGAAACCCTGTCTCTACTAAAAATACAAAAACTAGCCAGGAGTGGTGGCACACGCCTGTAATCCCAGCTACTTGGAAGGCTGAGACAGGAGAATCGCTTGAACCCGGGAGGTACAGGTTGCAATAAGCCAAGATTGTGCCATTGCACTCCAGCCTGGGTGACAGAGCAAGACTCCGTCTCTAAAAAAGAAAAAAAAAAGGTTTTAAAATAATAATAATTGATCTGAATGGTGAAAAGGCCCCTTTATTTCATCTGACAAAACATCCCAGTCCAAATGGCAGTTTATACTTTATAAAATGCCACCTCCTATGTGATCTTGTTTGCCCACTATGAGCAGCCCTGTGAGGAACAAGGATGGCAGTATCCCCACTGAACAGAGCTTGAACTCTGACCCAACAGGATGGGCAGAGGGATGGCCACGTGCTGCTGGCGGCAGAGCTGGGAGGAGATCTCCTTTCTTCCGACATCCAGCCCCACTCTATCTTCCACCTCACTGTCTCTCATGCCCACATCTGCTGCAAAACCCCGAACACCTGGCAAATGTGGCTTACACAGGCTCTAGTGTCTGCTGTGTGAGGACACGGCTACAGCCCTGATTTTGTTAAGGGGCTGGAGCCCAAGTCCTCTTGGTGCCTGGTGCCCACTGATCCTCCCTGCTGAGCAGCCCTCATACCACTGGCCAAGTCAAGGTCAGATGTGCTTAGAGGGCAAGGGATGTACTTTCTACAGTAGCCATCAGCAGTTGCCACGATGGCTACACCAGGTGTGTACAACCTTGGTTTCCACTTGGGAAGTGGTGACAGCTGAATGGCCAAGCTGCCTGAGCAGGCAGGGTTCCTGAGGCTAACAAGGCCCACCTGCTACCTCGGGCAGGAGGGTGTCTCCAGAGCTTCGCAATTCCTGAAGCCTTTGGCTGACACTGTAGGACTCTGTTTTCTCTGTTCCTGCTTAGGACACTGCGCAAGACTGTAAAGCAGTGGCTGATAGAAAAATACACTTTGAAGAGTCACTCCCGTCCATCTCCCTTCTCTAATACTATTAATAATTCAACATTCAACAAATGTACCGTTATCATTATTACTATCTCTACTATGAATGAACATTGTACAGTGCCTGACACACAGTAGGTGCTCAGACTAGTGACTGAATGATGGAACGGATGAGAAACTGAACCCCTTCTAGTTCCACGATGACCCCCATTTCTGTGGCAGTCTTTTGGCAGGCTAAGCAGCAGGTCCTAGCAGAGGTCAAGGAATACAGACACGAACAAGACATGGACCCTGTCCTCAGACACTGTATGTTCCTCAGACACTCTGAGCCACCATTTCTTCCTCTGAAATGGGAGGAGGGTTAGTTTTGAGTTTTCAACATGCCATCCTTGGGCTGAGGCATGGAGCTTAGGATTTTGGTAACTGGGTACTCAGAGTCTCATGAAAATCCAGCCCGAGCCTTTCCGAGGCTGTCCTGGCATGCTAATCTATTCTTTCTTTTTTTTTTTTGAGACGGAGTTTCCGCTCTTGTTACCCAGGCTGGAGTGCAATGGCGCCATCTCGGCTCACCGCAACCTCCACCTCAGTTCAGGCAATTCTCCTGCCTCGGCATCCTGAGTAGCTGGGATTACAGGCACGCGCCACCGTGCCCAGCTAATTTTTGTATTTTTAGTAGAGACGGGGTTTCACCATGTTGACCAGGATGGTCTCCATCTCTTGACCTCGTGATCCACCCGCCTCGGCCTCCCAAAGTGCTGGGATTACAGGCTTGAGCCACCGCCTCCGGCCTAACCTATTCTTTCTCGCGGGTCCTATTTCACATCTCAGAATGTTAACACCGGTTCCCTCCTGCTGATTAGACATTCTCATTAGAAAAAAAATTTAAATTTAAATAAAAAAAATCTTACTAGTAGTTTGAGTAATAGAAAATGGGGTAATCAATCTGGTAAGAAGAACTCATAAATGATCAAGAATAAATGCATTTCCTGGGGATGTAAGGCCAAGAGCCTTTTCTAGGTGGTGGCTCAGGTCCTTAGGGGGCTTATCACTGGACCGTTCTAGAATCTCATGTAAATCAAACCACATCTGGAAGGTGGGAGAAGAGGCCTGGAAATCCCGGCCCAGCTCCCCGGACTCCCTCGTTTGGGGTGTTTAAATTCCCTGATCCGGGACTGCCGGGCCAGGAAAATTCCACGCCCGAATTGTGACGTCGGCCCGTTGCCATGGCGGCGAAGGCAGACATTCCGCGGTGACCTCACTGCACAACCAGGCAGCTGTCACATGACGCGCGGGCAGGAGACCGGCCGGGCGGCCGAGGGCCACCTGTTAAGTGAACCTGGTAGCCCCGAGCCCGCCCAAGGCAAAGCCCCAACAGCGCGACCCCCCGGCTCCGTGCACCCTGCGACCGGGAAGGGCCGCGCCCGGCCGGGCAGGTTTCCGGTCCCTCGGCCCCACGCGCGGGGGTGGGCGTCGACTCCAGCCCCCTCCCAAGCCCCGGCTGTGGCTCCTGGAGGGGCAACAGCGCCCCGGCTCCCCTGACCCACGCCTCGCGACGCCCCCACCCCAGCCTCGGGTGGGCGGGGCGTCCCGGGAGGGGCGGCGGGTCCCGGCCCGCGAGGGGGACTCACGCGTTGCCCACGTAGATCCGCGGGGTGACCTCGTTGCAGGGCTGGCTCGGGAGGCTGTAGCAGCCGCTGCCGTCCGAGAGCAGGTCGTTGAGATCCTGCACCGAGAGCTCGAACGAGCCCGACATGGCGACGGCGGGGCCCTGCACGCCCGGCGGAGCGAGCGAGGGGAAGAGCTGCGGGTCAGCTGGGCGGGGCTCGCGCGGGGAGCCGCCCCGTTCCGCCCCGGGGGCGGGCCCGCCGGGCTCGGGGAGTGTCGAGCGCGGGCGCTGTGACGCGGGGGCACCGCGCGCCACTCCTGGGCGCGTCCCCAGGGGGAGACGCCGCCGCCCTCGAGTCTCGGGGGTCCTCGCCCCACCCCGGTCCAGGCCGTTGGTGTATTTTTGTGAACTGGGAAGCGCGGTCGCTTCCTTCCCCGAACCAAATGCAGGGCCCATAAACGTTTCCATTGCGGGGTATACCTAGGGGTCGCTTTAGTCTTTCTGGATTACAGGGACGACCGCGTTTCGCTCCGGAGCTGCTTCCTGCTGCGGAGGCTTCTCCCGCGCCCTCGCCAGAATCCCCGCAGCCCAGCCCTGCTGGATCAGAGTGGACATTTCACGGACCCCAGGAGGTCCCTAAGAAGATCAAAGTCTGAGAAGTTCTACTCTGGGGCGCGTCTGCTGTCAACATTCATTGAGAGCGTCGTGCTTAAAAGCAATCAGCCTAGGAATTCCGAGGAATTACCTAACCTATTTGATAAAAAAAAAAAAAAAAAAAAAGGAGGGTGTAGTAATAGTACCTAATTCCTAGGGTTGCTGGAAGAGTTAAATGTGACATTCAAGGAAGGAACCCAGCACTGCACATCCTGAGCACTCAATGTGTTGGTCCTTCATTAGCAAATGCGCTGAGCGCCCAGTGGGTGCTACGCCCTGTGCTGGCGTGGAGATAAATCAGGCTCCTGCAGTCCTTCCTGGAGCAGATGCCAGCCCACCATAAGCCACTCAGCATTTCCTGAACTCCCACTAAGTACAAAAGACAGTGTCTGTCCTGCAGGAAAGCCACCCTCCCCCACTGCCATGAAAAACTGGTAGTTTCCTTCTTGCAAAAGAGCAAATTTGGCCTTGAATTCAGGAAATCCACATCCTGACCCCAGCCCTGCCACCAACGTGGTTCTTGAGTAGCACTGCTGCTGCGGTCTTCAGTTTCCTCGTCTGCAAACAAATTGCATCAGATTATCATTAGGGTCAACTTTCTCCTCCCCTAAAAACCTGTGGTCTTGCACCTTCAGGGGAGCTATTGCAGTGGAGACTACTTAGCCCAAGATGTGTAACCAAGGCTGGAATTTCTGTATCCCTCACCCCACCCCGTGCCTGCCCACCCCTCCCCGCGCACACTCCTTTCCTTCTGATGTTGTCTGGCAGCATCTGTATTCTAAGCAGGGGGAAAAGGTTTCTAGTCCCTTGACCTTCTTCTTGACTTGAACCTAGGTTAGCATCAAACACAGAAGCCCCGAGGCAGCCAGCACGCTCCACTACTCCCACTCCTTTCCTGAGACCTGTACCTGATGTCATAACTGGGTAACTATGACAACTTGTCAGGGGGACAGCTAGGCACCTCACAGAGGAGTCTGGGTGCCTCATTTCGGAAGTGAGGCTAGGAAGAGAAGATGAACTCCCAGCTACTCGGGAGGCTGAGGCAGGAGAATCGCTTGAACTGGGAGGCAGAGGTTGCAGTGAGCTGAGATCGCGCCACCACACTCCAGCCTGGGTGACAAAAGTGAGACTCTGTCTCAAAAAAAAAAAAAAAAAGAATTTTGTTGGAGGAAGGAGGTGGTCAAGATGCTGTTCCTATATCCTGGTATATTCTGGTATAAGTTGAAAGCTGAGAGGAGTGAGGTGACCCAAAACTTGTGGCCAACCATTTGTGATTTATCCATAGCGAGACCTTCCCCCAATCCTGGTTTTACATTATAATCCTTGGGGAATTCTAACAAAATGCCAATGCCCAAGTTTCACCTCAGACCTAAAGTAGAATCTTCTTATGGCCAACAGGGCTGAGGACCACTGATATAAACCTGCAAATGCTGTCACGTTTCCCAGAGTGCAGTGCAGATCAGCAAGCTGCCCCAGGGGGCTGTGGGCTCAGCAGGACAGTTTACTCCCTGCACTTAGGCAGCCTGGCATTTATAATCTCATGACTTCATCTCCCCCACTCGTGAAGATGAACATTTCCTTCTTCACCCATGTCGGGGTTTTGTGTTTTTCAGCTTAAACAGAGAAACAAGGAACCGCGAGCTAGTGAGAATCACCGTGGAAAACCAGGGCATTCTGAAGAGGCTTGTGGATCGCAAACCCCACTATGACCGCAGGGCATCTGAGATAGACTGGCAGGTACATCGGCACTCATGTTATATTCCCAGACACACACAGAGTTTATCTGTGTTCGGCCTAGAGAGAGTACCGGAAAGATCCCTAAACAGCACCTGAAATGTAACCATCGTTAAAAGAAAAACCATCCAGTTTGGGCTTGGTGGCTTACGCCTGTAATCCCAACACTTTGGGAGGCAAGGCAGGTGGATCACGAGGTCAGGAGTTTGAGACCAGCCTGGCCAACATGATGAAACCCTGTCTCTACTAAAAATACAAAAAATTAGCCAGGCGTGGTGGTGGGCACCTGTAGTCCCAGCTACTTGGGAGGCTGAGGCAGGAAGATAGCTTGAATCCGGGAGGCAGAAGTTGCAATTAGCCAAGATTGCGTCACTGCACCCCAGCCTGGGTGACAGAGCAAGACTTTGTCTCAAAAAAAAGAAAAGAAGGCCAGGCGCAGTGGCTCACGCTTGTAATCCCAGCACTTTGGGAGGCCGAGGTGGGCAGATCACAAGGTCAAGAGATTGACCTCCTGGCCAACATGGTGAAACCCCGTCTCTACAAAAAAATAAATAAATAAATAGAAAAGAAAAACCATCCAAAGCAAGCAAAGCTAACAGGCACAAACCTGTTAAGCACAAACAGCTAAAACATCTTGGTAGCAAAGCTATTATGTGTCAGTTTCATAACTTATGTGTCAGTTTGAGAAAAATATCTGGTAGCACCTTCCCTCACCCCTTAATTTATTAAGAAAGGCTGAATGCGGCCAGGTGCGGCAGCTCACACCTGTAATCAGAGCACTTTGGGAGGCTGAGGCGGATGGATCACCTGAGGTCAGGAGTTCGAGACCAGCCTGGCCAACATGGTGAAACTCCGCCTCTACTAAAAATACAAAAATTAGCCGGGTGTGGTGGCACATGTCTGTAATCCCAGCCACTCGGGAGGCTGAGGCAGGAGAATTGCTTGAGCCTGGGAGATGGAGATTGCAGTAAGCCAAGATCCTGCCACTGCACTCCAGCCTGGCTGACAGAGCGAGACGCTGTCTCAAAAAAAAGAAAAGGAAGAAAGAAAGAAAGGCTGAATGTACAGGGATGAATGGTATAAGATTCAGTATGTGGTTGGTTTGCTTCATTTAGGAATGAGCCTTAAAAAGGTGGGGGGAGGATCCAAGATGGCCGACCACTAACAGCTCAGGATTGTAGCTCCCAGTGAAAGCCCAGAGAACGAGACGACGCCACACTCTTGGACGAATTTTCGTCACTCACCGATCAGCCGATTCCCAGTGGAGGAGCCCCACGGGTCGCCAGCGTGACTCTTGTGGCCGCCGCAGCGGTTTTGCCGGCGTCTTGGTGCAGCAGCTCTTCATGCAGAGCCAACGGGACTGCTTCCCCTACTGACTGGAGTTTGGAGCTCCGGGAAGTCAGAGCCGCTTGTTACGGACTCAAGAGGGAAGCCAGACCAGAGATTCCTGGGCAGAAGAGCACCATCAGTCTCACCGCTGCTATTTAGGCTGCCACAGTGGATTGCTCGGATCCCAGCACTGGGAATCAATAAGTCAGACGTCGACTCAGAAAACTAATTAGAAAGGCGGTTCATCTACAATGAAGGGGAAAAAACAGCCTAAGAAGGCCGAGTATACTCAAAATCAGAACCCATCAGCAACGGAACAAGCCCTGATGGAAAAGGACTCATCAGCAACCGAACAAGCCCTGATGGAAAAGGACTCATCAGTAACGGAACAAGCCCTGATGGAAAAGGACTGTGTTCCATTATCTGAAGTAGGCTTTAAAAGGTGGATGATAAGAAACTTCTGGGAGTTAAAGGAACTTGTTCTAACCCAATGTAAAGAAACTAAGAACTTGGAAAAAAGGTTAGATGAAATGTTAAAAAGAATAGACAATATAGAGAGGAATACAAATGAACTTATGGAGTTGAAAAATACAACACGAGAACTTAGTGAAATATGTACAAGCTTAAACAGCCGAATGGATCAAGCAGAAGAAAGGGTATCAGAGGTTGAAGATCAACTTAATGAAACAAAACAACAAGACAAGAATAGAGAAAAAAGGATAAAAAGGAATGAGCAAAGTCTCCAAGCAATATGGGACTATGTGAAAAGAACTAATATACGCTTGATTGGTGTACCTGAATGTGACGGAGAGAATGAATTCAAGCTGGAAAATACTCTCCAGGACATTATCCAGGAAAATTTTCCTAATTTAGCAAAGCAGGACACTATTCAACCCCAGGCAATACAGAGAACACCACAAAGATATTCCTCAAGAAGACCAACCCCAAGGCACATAATCGTTAGATTCACCAAGATCGAAACGAAGGAGAAAATATTAAGGGCAGCCAGAGAGAAAGATCAAGTTACCCATAAAGGTAAGCCTATTAGGCTTACAGCAGATCTCTCAACGGAAACCCTACAAGCTAGAAGAGAGTGGGGGCCAATATTCAATATACTTAATCAACAGAACTTTCAGCCCAGAATTTCATATCCTGCCAATTTAAGCTTTACATTTGAAGGAAAAATAAAATTTTTTAGGAACAAGCAAGTACTCAGAGATTTTATTACCACCAGGCCTGCTTTACAAGAACTTCTAAAAGAAGCATTATACACAGAAACGAACAACCAGTATGACCCTTTCTAAAAATACACCAAAAAGTAAAGAGCATTAACATAAAGAAGAATTTTTATCAACAAAAGGACAAAATAGCCAGTTAATATCAAACGGCAACAACCCTAAATTTAAATCGACCAAATCTCCCAATCAAAAGATACAGACAAAATCTAACGGTATATCCAAAGATATACATAGACTCAAAATAAAGGGTTGGAAAAAAAAACGTACCAACCAAATGGAGAGCAAAACTAAATAAATAAAAAGCAGGAGTTGCAATTCTCACACTTAATAAAATAGATTTCAAAGCTACAAGGATGCAAGGGTAAAAGGATTAATGCAACAATAAGAGATCTTAACACCCAGATACATAAGACCCATAATGAGATTTAGATTCAATGAGACAACAAATTGATAATGATATCCAGGACTTGAACTCAGAGCCAGAACAAATAAACACAATAGAGGTCTCCATTTTAAACACATAAAATATGCATTAACCACTTTAAACACTCAAAATATTGATCGGCCATTATTGAAACCCATTTTAGGAATGAAGTAATATTCCTTTTTCCCTCTTTTTCTTTTTTTCCCCTTCTTCTTCTCTTTTTCCCTCAAAAAAAAAAAAAAAAAAAAGGTGGGGGGAGGGGAAGCCATCTGTGGTGTTTTAAAAAAACCTCCACTTACTGGCTTTGGTCTTCAGGCCTTTTCTAAGTCATCCCTAAGATTTAGAACTTCAGTAGTAACACCAGTGCCCTGGCATTGACATAAACCAATTTTTTTTCCTTCAAGAATTCAAGGCGCTATATCAGAAATACCACGAGATATCTTCTCTCCCAGAATGAATAGGTATGTCTCCTTACTATGGGACATTGTGACCACAGCTGATACCAAAGCCCTGAGAACCTCATAAATGGTGAATGAGGGGCCCAGTTAAGGAGATGGATTTTGCTCTTCTCATATAATATTGACTGGTCATCCATTCAGGAAACTTAGGGCTCTCTGACTTTATTTCTTCTCTCCATACAAGGAAGAAATGACATTGTCTTTTGTTATCATCTTTGAGGCTTTATGGAAATCTAAGGGGAAGTGATTTGTTCCAATAAGACAAATACTGGAGGACTTGTGGCTTTAAAATTGTGCCTAAGTTACATTACTGGTCTCTGTCAGTATTCGAAAGTACCAGTATGTTGGCATTTTGTATTATTTAACATTATTAGTAATGACTAAGTGGTTTCCCCCACCCAAGGGAGAAGGATAAATGGACACTCAGGCATTCCAAAGAATAGTTGTGTATAATTGATGTGTCTTCTTCTCTCTTCTCCACTGAACACAAGGTTACTCACCATGGAAAAGATACAAGAGAACGTCCTAGGATTTCTTGGCTGCTTAGAATCTCAAGACACCCCTGAGCAGATGAAATGCTCAATCTTCAGATGCTTCAATAAAGTTTGGAACATAAAATGCATAAGTTACATTCAGGGGACCCAAAGGCTTTACGTTCTCATTCCAAAATGGGGCAGGTAAAAGGAAAGATGCAATGAGCATTTTTATTTGGGGCTATGAAGAGAAGTTTTAACAAGAGAGAGAGAGAAATCAGAGAGAACTCTTTTAAACATACACCATCATCACCATCCCACGGAGGAAGAAAAGCTGGGGTGAGGACATCCAGCCACATGACAACATCAAGTTTCAGAAAATACGAAGAACAAATGCCATTAGTTCCTCTGTGAATACACACAGTCGGCAAAGAATGCCTTATTGAAGTTTCCATGGACTCTGTTCATTTATAGGGAGCAGCAGCAGTGAAAATGTCTCAGAACATATGGTGAGACAATGTTGCAGGGCTTCTATGACTGGTCATGCTGGTTTTGAGCCCAACTCTGTTAGTCAGCATTTTCCAAAGAGACAGACTCAATAGGATGGGGCTGGGGGGTGGGGGGGGGTGGCAGATTTATTTGGGGAATTGACTCACAAGATCATGGAAGCTGAAGTCCCACCACAGGCCAGCTGGAGACCCTGGTGCAGCAGGGCAGACAACTCCCAAAGTGGGGCTTAGCCTGTGAGGGTTCTTGGCTTAACCCAGGAAAGAATTTTAAGGGTGAGCCAGTAGTAGGGTAGAAGAAGACAGTTTTATTGAAGCAGCAGTGTTATAGCTCCATGACTGCTCCTGCAGAACAGGGCTACCCCATAGGCAGAGAGTTGCAGCTCAGGGCAGTTTTGTAGTCTTATTTATACTTACTTTTAATTACATATAGATTGAGGGGTGGTTTGTGCAGAAATTTTAGGGAAGAGGTAGTAATTTTGGGGTCCTTGGATCATTGCCATGGAAAGGGGTGGTAACTCCTACGTGTTGCCATGGTAATGGTAAACTGACAGGGCGCACTGGTGGGAAAGCTGCTTCCACCCCTTCCCTGTTTTAGCTAGTCCTCAATTAGATCCTACGTCCAAGCCCCGCCTCTGGAGTCAAATCTTGCCTCCCACCTCACCGGGATGCTGGTAGCCTGGCTTTGTCCAAGTCTGAAAGCCTCAGAACCAAGAAGAAGGTGGTGTAACTCTTAGTTCAAGGCCAAAGGCCTGAGAACCCACCAGGGGAACGAGCAGGCTGGTGTGTATCTTGAAGTCCAAAGGCCGAGGAGCCTGGAGTTTTCCCAGGACAAAAGAGGAAGACTGTATTCTAATTCCAGCAGATAGACTGATGTATCCACCTCTTCTCTGTTTTTGTTCTCTCTGAACTCACAGCAAGTTGGATGATGCCTATCCACATTGAGAGTGGATCCTCCCACATACTTCACTCAGACTTACATGCTAATCTCCCCTGCAAATACTCTCACAGACGCACCCAAAAATAATGCTTTACCAAGTTTCCAGGTATTCCTTAATTCAGTCAAGTTGGCACCTAAAATGAACCATTGCACCGACTTTTTAAACTTTCTATTTTGAAATAATGACAGATTCACAGGTAGTTGGAAATAAAGGTACAGGGAGGCCTCCTGCACCCTTCACCCAGTCTCCACCAGTGTTAGCATCTTGCATAACTGGAGTACAATATCAAAACCAGGAAACTGACATTGGGATGATGCATGGAGCCTAAGCAGACATCATCAGTTACACATGCACTCATTCGTGTACATATGTGCATAGCTCTATGTGGTTTTTGTCATTCGTATAGCTTTGTGTAACCACAACCACATTTGAGATACCTAAAGGTACTAATCAAAAGACACTCTTGTGCCACCCTTTTAGCTACAGCCATCTCAGACCTTCAAGCCTAACTCCTGGCAATCACGATCTGTTTTCCATGTCTGTTAGTTCATGAGTATTACATAAATAGCATCATGCAGTATATGTCCATCCTTTTACAACTGGCTTTTTTCACTCAGGATAAAATCCTTGATGTTCATCCGAGTTGCGTGTGACTTTTTATTGCTAAGTAATATTCCATAGTATGGACATACTACAATTTACTTAACCATACATCTCTCAAAGGACATTGGGATAGTTTCTAGGTTTTTTTTAATATTATAAATGAAACTGCTGTGAACATTTGTGTGCAACTTTTTGCATGAAAATATGTTTTCCCTGGAATAAATACCCAAGAGTATAATCGCTGGGTCGAATGGTAAGTCCATTTTTAGTTTTAAAAGGAATTACAAAACAATTTTCCAGAGTGGCAGCACCACTTTATATCCCCACCAGTAATGGACAAGTGATCCAGTTTCTCCACATTCTCACCAACATTTGATCTTATCACCTTTTTTTACTTTAGCCATTCTCATATGTGTGTAGTGAAATCTCATCTGTGTATCCTCTTTGGTGAAATGGCTGTGAAAGTCTTTTGCTTATTTCCTGATTTTTTTTTTTTTTTTCAGGCAGAGTCTCACTCTGTCGCCCAGGCTGGAGTGCAGTGGCTCGATCTTGGCTCATTGCTACCTCCGCCTCCCAGGTTCAAGTGATTGTCCTGCCTCAGCCTCCCGAGTAGCTAGGATTACAAGCATGTGCCACCACACATGGCTAATTTTTGCATTTTTAGACGGGGTTTCACCATGATGGCCAGGCTGATCTCAAAACTCCTGACCTCAGGTGATCCACCCATCTCAGCCTCCCAAAGTGCTGGGATTACAGGCGTGAGCCGCTGCATCTGGCCTGATTTTTTTTAATAGCAAATTTTGAAAGTTATTTATATATTCTAGATATGTCCTTCGCCAGCTGTGTGTTTTGCACATATTTTTCTCCCAGTCTGTAATTTGGTTTTTCATCCTCAGAGTGTTTCACAGAGCAAAATATTTTTATTTTGATGACATCCAATATATCATTGATGAAACTGTTCTGTATCTTGACTGAATCAATGTCAATATCCTTGTTGTGAAACTGTACCATATGGTTTTGTAACAAGCTACCACTGGGGGAATCTGGTAAAGGGTTTACAGGATCTCTCTGTATTACTTCTTATATGCATGTGAATCTACAGTTATCTGAAAATAAAAAGCTTAAAGAAAAAATCAACATGCCTAAATAACAAATTCATTATTAACTGGTTCCAGTTAATCTCAGTTTTGAGGAGCAACCATTCTTCTAGACACCCAGGTTAAAAACCTGAGGTCATCTTTTACTTCATTCTCTGTCTTTCCTCCTGTCCCCTCCCTACATTTTTTTTAAAGACAGAGTCACTCTGTTGCCCAGGCTTTGGTCTCTTCGGGTGATCTTAGAGCTACAAGTCTTTATTTCTCAATCTCTATATGAGCTACTGCCCATATTTCAGGCACCTGTGATTTACAACTTGTATTACTAATGCAAAAATATGCCCCTATCACTTTCTAGCTTAATGGCTTCAGTGATTTGATACTCTTGCATAATGGGCTGGAGATTTAAATAGAGCAGACCAGGCCTTTCATGATCCAGCCCATGAACTGCTCAGGTTATATCAGCTATACTTTCAAATGTTTGGCAATTTTCCTGTTATCTTTCTGTTGTTAATTTTTAATTTGATGCCATTATGTCCAGAGAACACACTCTATAATTTCAATTATTTTAAATTTGTTAAGGTTTTTTAAATCAAGGTGAATATTTTCTGGACATTTGAAAAGAATGCATATTGCACTGTTACTGGGCAAAGTGTTCTATAAATATCAGTTAGGTCCTGTTGGTTGATGGTGTCCAGTTCTTCTACATCATGATGATTTTCTATCTAGCAGTTTGATCAGTTGCTGAGGGTGGGGTGTTGAAATCTCCAACTATAATTGTGGATTTGTCTATTTCTCTTTTTAACTCTGTTTTGACTTCATATATTTTGAAGCCATGGTGTCTGATGCATACATATTAAAGATTGCTGTGTAATTTTGATGGATTGATTTGTTGATTTTTTTTTTTTTTTTTTTTTTTTTTTTTGAGACAGGGTCTCACTCTGTCACACAGGCTGGAGTGCAGTGGTGTGATCTCAGTTCACCGCAACTTCCTCCTCCCAGGCTCAAGCAATCCTCCCACCTCAGTCTCCTGACTAGCTGGGATTACAGGCAGGCACCATGGTGTCCAGCTAATTTTTGTATTTTTTTTTTTAGTAGAGATGGGTTTTCATCATGTTGCCCAGGCTGATCTGGAACTCCTGGGCTCAAGTGATCCACCCACCTCGGCCTCCCAAAGTGCTGAGATTACAGATGTGAGATCTCTTTATTATTATACAATGTCCCTCTTTGTTCCCAGTAATTTTCTTTCTCTGAACTTACTTTATCTGATATTAACATACTCAGTACTGCTTTCTTAAAATTAGTGTTTGCGTGATATATTACTTATTATCCTTTTACTTTCGGTCTACCTGTGTCATTATGTTTGAAGGAACATATACTTGCAGACAGCAGATACAGATGGTCCCTGACTTACAATGGTTTGACTTAAATGATTTTTTTTACTTTATGATGGTTCAAAAACAATACACATTCAGTAGACATCATACTTTAAGTACCCATACAACCATTTCCATTTTTCACTTTCAGTACTGTATTCAACAGATTACATGACATATTCAAACTTTATTATAAAATAGGCTTTATGTTAGATAATTTTGCCCAACTATAGGCTAATGTAGGTGTTCTGAACACATTTAAATCAGGCCTGGCTGAGCTATAATGTTTGACAGGTTAGGTGTATTAAATGTATTCAACTTAGAATCAACTTACCATGGACTTATTGGGAACATAATCTCATCATAAGTCAAGGAGAATCTGTACTTCCATTTTTATGTATTGTGTTGTTTCTTTCTTTTCCCTCCCTCCCTCCCTCCCTCCCTCCCTCCCTCCCTCCTTCCTTCTTTCCTTCCTTCCTTCCTTTTTTCCTCTACCTTCTTTCCCTTTGTCCCAGCCTTCTTCTGTTAATTTCTTTCTGTTTAGAGAGCTTCCTTTAGCCATTCTTTAAGGGTAGGTCTCAATAAACTCTGTTTCTTGTCGTCTGAGAATGTCTTTATTTTTCCCTTCATGCCTGAAGGGCAGTTTCACCTGATAGAAGATTCGAGGTTGAGGGTTTTGTTTTCAGCACTTCATAAGTGTTGGGCCACTCCTAGATGGCCGCCATCATTTCTTTCACAGGTAATGCAAAAATACAGCTTGAACTAGCATTCCTTCCTGGTTGTTTCTCCCTGATTGTTTTAAAGACTTCTTTTTTTTTTAATCTCCAGTTTTCAGAAGATTAATTATGATGTGTCAGTTTGGTTTTGGACCCTTTCTCCTATTTGGAGCTCAGTCAACTTGAATCTGTAGGTTTTTGTTTTTCACCAGATTTGGGAAGTTTCAGCCATTATTTCTCTGAATACTTTTCAGTCTCACACTTTCTCTTTTCCTCTGATACAAATGTTAGTAGCTCTATCGCGGAATCCTTGGGGTGTCACTTTGCCAGCCAGAAACCTCTATGGCTAGTGGCACCTTCTGC